CCTTTGTGAGCGTGAATCTCCAGCAGGCTCCTGTACTTCTATGCGCAAAGTTGTGCGCTTGGGCGTCGCGATTTTCTCCAAGTGTTGCGGGTTGCGACGACCTCCAGCATGTGATATTGTTTGGGACTTCTTCATTGGTCCCAAGCGTTCTTGGACTGGAGCTTTACCTCGTTCTTTGGGAATAGGACCGAGGCGCTCCAAAACTGACTTTCTCTCCTGGGATGGTCCTGCAGGATTTCCCGGAGCAGTTGCAGAAATCACCGGCCGTTTGGATTGATTTGCCGGGTGTTGAACCTTTGGCGGTTGCGGGTTTTGCTCCTTAGTCTGAACCACTCCAGACTTCGGCTTCCAAACCTTGCGAGTCGATGACTGTTTCTCGGCCACCTCACGCTGTAGCTTGCGACGGGCTTCTTCAGCTTTAGCCCGCGCTTGCGCAGATAATGCGCGGCGCTTGCAGATACGTTCCTCCAGTGTCGAGCGGTCCCGTTTGACACGAACCCACTCCATTGTTGATGGCTTGGAGGAACCATCCTTCATTTGCTGTTGAGGCTGTTTGCCTCGTTTGTTCTTCAGATCCGCATGGTAACGGACCCCGTCAACAGACTCCATGGCCTTGGCGAACTGCTTCGCGAGGCGTTGGCGCTGCCTCTGGCGAGCTCTCTTAGAGAGAATCACCACGCCTTCGACGGCGGATTTGACCTGCTTCGAGGCCGGTAGGACTTCACCTGACGCAACTTCGGCGTCGAATGGGGTGAGGTCGTCGTTGGTGGCTTCAACTTCTTCGCACCAACGGACTTTTCTCCTGGAGGAGAACTTCTGAAACTTCTTGGACTTGGGGGAGGAGGTAGATCCAGACGAGGACACGTACTCCTCGTACTTCTGTTGGTCGAACTCATACTCGACCTCCTCCACGACCGGGATCGAGATCCGCGGCTGCGACGCTCCGATCTCAGCAGTGAGATCGGTGGCTCCCACTGTGGTCGCCAGATTGTTCGCGGGAAAAGTTGGTGTTTTCTTCATTATCGATGTCATTGCACTCAGTTAACAACTTTATGCGTTACAAAGAGATCCGGTCTTTTTATAAGATCCGGCTTACAATGAAAATCAAAATAAAACAAAGAAATCAAAATTACAACTTCTCTCTTTTACCGAACAAATCACAAGATCCTGTTATCCGGTCTCTTGCTTCTGTGGGTTGTTTGCCTGCGCCGGGGTTGCTTACCGTGGACCACCGCGTGATCTGGATCCAAGCAGATCTACGACGTATTACGGGTATTATCCCACCAAGGAGATAATAGCCGGGAGGGATCGTTTCACCAAGGAAACGACCGCTCGAATCTCGGGATCTAAGAACCAAGCTTAGATCCGGAGTGTAACGACGTAGATCTGAGGATTAGACTCTCTCGAACTCCTGCCTTTTTCGGTGCGGGTGCTCGCTAAGAATCAAATCCGGGTCTCCAAGTCTTCAAGCCTTCAGATCTCCGAGTTGAGGTGACAATCCGGCAGAGTTTCGGCTCTCTCAAAAGTTTCAGAAGAAGTCCCTCAAATGAACAACCACCCCCCCTATTTATAGCCTCTCTGAACTGTGCCTTTGTGCACAAGAGAGAGAGGGGGGGGAGTCGGGCCACCTGAGGGTGGCTCGGCTCATGCCGAGCCACCCTGAGGTGGCTCGGCAGGGTGGCTCGGCTCATGCCGAGCCACCCTGGGGTGGCTCGGCCACCGAGCCACCCTGGGGTGGCTCGGCTTGGGCCGAGCCACCCCGGGTTGGCTCGGTTTAGGCCGAGTCCCCGGGTGTGTTCCGTTTCGCCGTTTTCCGGTGTTTTCCGTCTTTCAGTTCTTCGTTTGATTCGTCCGGACTTTGATTTGATAGCCCGGGTCTTTATTTGGCAGTATTTCCGCCTCGGTGTTTGAGTACAAATCTATCTTGTCGTTGGACGACTCGTTGACTTTCCGAACTGTTGGATTGGTTCCACAGGCGAACATATGCCGTTGTTTGTGTGCTTTATCGCCTCGTCGCTCGAACATCCGTTAATTTGTCGAACCATCATGCTGAACCATGCTAAGGGACCTATAGGTAATTTTATACGCCTACATCTTGAAGCCGAAACCCGATGTCGATGCTTCCTGTTTAAAGCATCTGCTACGACATTTGCCTTCCGCGGATGATACTAAATCGCGAACTCATAATTCTTGATAACTCAATCCACCCCCTCTATCTCTGATTGAGCTCCTTCTGAGAGAAAAGATACTTCAGACTCTGATGGTCTGTGAGCAACTCAAACTACACTCCATACAAGTAGTGCCTCCATGACTTCAGTGTAAATACTACTGCTGCTAACTCCAAGTCATGAGTGAGATAGTTCTGCTCATATACCCTTAACTGTCGTGAGATATATGCTACCACCCTCTGAGTCTGCATCAAGATGCCTCCTAAACCTACCAATGATGCATCTGTGTAGACCACAAATATCTTGTCGCTGCTCAAAATAGTCAAAATTGGTGATGTAGTCAACTTAGTCTTTAAGGTATCAAAAGCCTTCTGGCACTCCACGCTCTAAATAAACTATACACCCTTCTTCGTAAGGCGTGTAAGCGACGTCAAAATCTTCAAGAAGTCTTGGATGAACTTCCTGTAATAGCCAGCTAAACCCAAAAAGCTACGAATCTCTGTCATCGTCATTGGCGGTTCCCAATCAAGAACTGCTGTAATCTTAGCCGGATCTACTGCTATGCCCCCTCTACTGATGGTGTGGCTGAGAAATCTTGTTCTTACCCTTATTCTCAGTCTGTTCCATCTTAGCTTTCCTTTCCTTGTCTTTCTAAAACATGGTTGTCTCAATTTCTTATGAAGTGGCGGCCTCAGCTACCTCTCGTACCGAATAAAACTTCCTCGAGACGAGGTATCGACGAAAATTAGGGCGAAGCCCTGCTAGAAACATCTGAGCCTGACGCTCTCCTGTCTGCCACATACCCGTGAAGTGTAGTAACTCCATAAACTTGCACTCAAAGTTAGCTACTGTCATGTCCCCCTGAGTCAATCGGGACAACTTAAGCTCCTTCCCAGTCCGTGCTGCAGAAGAAATGTACTGTTCGTCAAAGAAATATACGAAATCCTCCCATGTGAGGGTCATCCTATGCTCTGGAGTAAACTGGAGTCGGTACCATCTCCCGGCGTCTCCCTTCAGACTGTAAGATGCCAGTCTCTGCTTCTGAACTGAGTCCACATTGAGTATGTCAAGTACATTACTCACATCCTCCTTCCACTTATGGGCTATAAGAGGGTCTGATGATCCGGTGCCATCATCTTTTGCTACCTCTCTACCATACAGAGCTAAGCCTCCTGTTCTGTGGCTCTATCCAGGAATGCTGGTGGAATAGCTATAGGTGTGATCTCTGGGGATCTCTCTCTGATGGGAACGCCTGGTATCCCCTGCGGCTGAGCTGCCGGTGGTGGTGGTGGTGTGATATGATTCGTCACAAGCTCCTCAATTGCTGTCATCCTAGCTATAAGGGGGCCATGATATCTACTAGGTACTGGGGTGCCTACTGCAGCTCAGCTGGTGCCTGCTGTGGCTCGGGTTGAGCTTGTTGTAGCTCAGATAAAGCCTGATGTGACTCTGCCTGTCTAGCTCTCTGAGTACGAGGTCTACCACATCCTGTCATCTCTGATAATAAGAAATAAGAGTTCATGAGTCAAAATGGACATATATATATACATAATGTATCACAATACGATTTTCACAACATTTAGTATTCACACAAATACTTAAATTTACACAAAATAGTTGTCATAAAAAAATATTCTCAAAATTTTATGTTATAAGCATATATTTCCTCACTCATACTAGGAAATCCTTAGCGGACTCTATACATAAATCCTAAGAAACTCTATTCTAGCTCCACGACTCAACACAGGATGATCCTAAGGATACTGGAATTAGAGGTCTGATACCAACTGTGATGCCCCCGGGTTCACATAAGGCTACAGTCTAAGGTGAAATCAGGAATGTCAAACCTGTCATACACCACACCATGCAATAACATGTTTCATCATTACAATTACTATCTCTCTAGTAGAGTTAATAACAGGTATAGGTACAAAAGCAAGTAAAAGATAATACAAGAGATATATGATGAAATAATAGAGATAAAAAGTACAAAAGCAAGTAAAAGATAATACAAGAGATATATGATGAAATAATAGAGATAAAAATGATATTTTATCATCCAACACAAGAGATATATGATGAAATAATAGAGATAAAAATGATATTTTATCATCCAACATACAAAAATATAAAGCGAATCTCTAAAATAACAAGTATGAAGATCTCAATAAATCTCAAATACAGAATATCTGATAAAAGGAAATAAGTCCACAGCTTTTACAACTTCTAGAACATAACTCTCAAATGTCTAAATAAAATGTCTATAGCGGAGCTCCATAAATAAAATAAAACTACAAATAAAAGATGGATGCTAATAAGTATCGTCATCAACCTATGACTTTCCGTGCACCTGGCTCGTTACCTAAAATGGGAGGGGACAACGAGCGTCAAAACACTAGCAACATCACAACCAACCCCAAGGGAGAGGGCTCGTTGCATATAAAAAATACAGTTAATACATATATACATAAAATCATTGATCCTAACAACAAGAGGATTTTAGTATTTAGAAAATTATAACACGAGCATAGGTACGTCGAACGAAATAATCCAAACAAGGAAACCCTCATGTATATACCATATATCTCAAATTATAAATCCCTAAATACCAAACCCAAGATCTAATACATGAACAATAATATAAGAAGACTAACCCATCTCAGAACTCAAATACTATGTCATGTCAAAACCCACATAAGTGCCATGTCTAGCCTATGTAAGTGTAAGTATCATACTCAAGGTTTAAACAGGTGTCCAACACATGGACTAAGACTAGGTGTAGTGGATGCCCTACACATGGACTGCTTATATAAATTGTCCAACACATGGATCGAATGATGAATGTTCAACACATGGACTGAATATAATGAATGTCCAACACGTCGACTGAATATGATGAATGTCCAACACATGGACTGCACATAATAATTGCCTAACACATGGACTGAATGAAATGTGTAGAATATCGATGAGATATATGAAAAGGATGAATATAGACTAATTTCACACGTGTCTCGGTGTGAAAATCTAAACTCATGTCCGCAAGCCATCTCACATATGAAGATACATAATAAATAATAATTTCTAACGCTAAATATTCCAGGTGACTCCTCGTTCATATTATTAAAGCACACAACAAAAGTAAACATGTACAAACTATGCCGGTGATCAACCGAAATAGGTAGAAACCCTTCACATGTTCATGTCTGCTTCGAAACAAATCAAGTAGAGACATAATTATTTTTCAAGCATAATATTACTGATATCAACATATATAAAATAACATGAAACAAAATATTAGCATGTAAATATATCCAAGCATAATATTACTGATATCAACATATATAAAATAACATGAAACAAAATATTAGCATGTAAATATATCGTCGAAACCCTAAACATTTATATACACATGTTTAAACGTTTTAAAAGCAAAAAGTTATGATTTAATTCATGATTAATAAATTTTAGATTTGAAATTTGTCAAGATTACTATTGTAATCAATTAGAAAATTATGATAATGTATTCTCACTTCATAAGTTATAAAGATCTATCTTTTGTATACTAAAAATACGTTTTAGGCTCAAAAAATCCGAATAAAACTTAAGAAAATGTGCAAAATAAAAGGGTGCAGAGTTGGACGAGATATTATTCACCTTAGATGTTGAAAAACTCTTACCACATGAAAAAGAACCAATCCCCTTCGCTTCACTGCACAAAACCCGCTGAAAAATCCTTCAAAATCCCTCAAAATCACCAAAGAAAAGAACTAGGGTTTGAGAGAGGGGAAAAGGGGCTGCTAGGGTATGGAACATAGGAAAAAAGAGGTATTTTTATGTTTAAACATGTGTATATATGACAAAAAATACCGAAAAACTACAGCCCAAAACCCAAAACCTGAAACTGGAAAACCCAGTCTGACCAAAAACATACTCTTCGGCATATTGGCTGTAACTTTTGCACCCAACCTCGGAATAAGGTAATTAAAGATTTTTTAGAAATTTGCTGAAGATATCTACAACTTTGGTCATTTATATTTTTTCATATTCACAATGTATCAGTGTGTAAAATATAAAATCTCTCCACTGGTCATAAATTTTCAGATTTATACATCGAGCAAGATTTGAACATTTGCTCTTATATATATACATTAAATTGATCTTAAATGAATTTCTAGAATACTCAAACATATAATATGTTAATTATAAATATATAATATATTTATTATTATTTATCATAAAATATTCAAAATTTTGGGGTTTTACAAGCATCAAAGTCCTCGTGTTGGACTATAATCCACTACAACACTCGTGTTGAACTTTAAGCTATTGCAGATCATACTTTGGACATTTATTTATTGTAGACTACGAGTTGGGTATGTAATTGACATATGACAGGTCATTGATATTTCGGTTGGAGATAGAGTTATTACTACATGTTGTAGCTTTTGAATTTGGTATTTAACTATTTATAATTTGATCTAAGGGAGGTGTATCTATGCTCGTGTTGTAAATTTCTAAACAACAAACCTTTATTTTATTTTTACAGTCGATGTTTGGCTATCTATATGTATTATCAGATATTTTTTTATTCTTCTAGCCCTTTCCCCAGGGATTGGTTGAGATGTTACTCGCTATAGCGCTTTGACGCTCGTTGTTTCCCCACTTTTAGGTAACGAGCCAGGTGCACGGAGAGCCGTAGCTTGATGGAGCTAGTTACCATTTTTTATTTTCGCTAGTAGATTATGTCAGAACTCCACAATAGATGTATTTATAAAACATTTGAGTTTTTACTCTAGTTTTGTATAGGTAATGTGCCTTACTATCATTTCATTTTATTATTATGTCGAGACATTTGTATTCAGTTCAGATATTACCTTTTTAGAGACTTATCCATTTATATCAATGATATTGATTATTCTTCTGAGTATCTGTTGTTTAGTTTCCTTTCTGTATACTCTCTTTGCCTGTTTTATACTTACACCGGTTGTTGAATATACTAGATAAGAAGTGACTGTGATGGTGAAGCATGTCGTAGTATGGTGTTTGGTGCTTGACAGGTCTGACATTCTTAGTTTCACATTGGACTGCAGCCTTATTGAAACTAGGGGCGTACAATGACATTTGGCCAACACAAAATTATTTACCATACAATTGAGACAACTAAAAAATGGTAAAAATTCGACAATGACATTTGGCCAACACAAAATTATTTACCATACAATTGAGACAACTAAAAAATGGTAAAAATTCGAGGGCTATTGCCTATGAAACCTTGAATTTTGGCCTCAATAATATTATTTGCCAATGAGACAAAACAATAAAAAATAGCCAAAAATTGAGGGTTATAGCTCATGAAATCATAAAATTTAGCATCTGCAATATTATATGTTAGCGGGTCAAGATGACTAAAAATGACCAAAAATTGTGGGTTATAGTTTACAAAATCATGAAATTTGGCCTTCCTAAAATAACTTGCCACCGCGTCGAAATGACTAAAATGGCTAAAAATTATGGGTATTACTCATGAAATTGCGAATTTTAGCATCCCTAAAATTATTTACCATTGAGTCAAAAACGACTAAAATGACCAAAATTCATGGGTTATAGCTCATGAAATCATGAATATTAGTTTCTGTCAAATTATTTTCCAACTTGTCAAACAACAAAAAATGTTCAAAAATTATAGGTTACAGCTCAAGAAATCATGAATTTTACTTATATAAAATTATTTGCTAGTGGGTCGAAATATCTAAATTTGACCAAAAATTGGGTTATGGCTCACAAAATTGTTAAATTAAGCCACTGCGAAATTATTTGCCAGTGAGTTGAAATGAATAAAAATGGCTGTAAAACCCTGTAAAATATAGTGAATGATTTTTTTATTGTGAAATATATGTTTATATCATAGATGAATGTGATAACAAGTATTTGGGGATCAAACGAGTGTATTTATATGAGAAAGATCAAGTGATAAGACCAGCACACAAACAACACACACCAACAGAAAATTTCCTATATGAGCGACCGTGGTGGTCGACCGTCAGGCATGCAGCAGAAGCAGAAAGCTTCTATCTCTTACGCGGTCGATCGTGGCGGTCGACCGTACGTAGTTTTGCCAGTTTTTCCCAGTTCGAGTCTTATTGGATTTTGGGTCAGGTTTGTGGGCTAATATATATAATATTATATTCTTGAGAGCTTCTTCTTCACCATAGAAAATCCTAGCAGCCTCCTCTTGCAAATCCTAACCCCTTCTCCTTGGTGATTTCTGCGGATTTCGAAGAGTTTGAGTGGGATCCAGCAGTTTTTGACATAGGAGGATATTTTTCCAGCGTTTTTTTGGAGTTGTTCATCATCCCTCAGGCGAGTTTCATCTCGACCAACACTATACCCATGTTTTTATAAATTTTAATAATGTTTTTCATGTGATTTGTGAGCTAAACATACTAGATTATGTATAAAAAAGATCTATATGTTGTATTTTTACTAAGAGAA